TATCTATCTATCTATCTATCTATCTATCTATCTATCTATCTATCTATCTATCTATATCTATCAGTGAAGGGTTAGAACAATTTTTACACAACAAAGCTATATCAAACAAAGGACCAATTTTACAGAACGCTCTGTACCACTGAAGGCTAAAGTAAGAGAGCAGAATCCATTATCCAGGAGTCTGTAAGGCACAAGATGTTGCCAACAGCCATTGAAACTACATGATTTGGTGAAGCCTGAGGAATTAATTCATCCCATTCCTGATGAATAATACTTATCATGATTTTATGATCTGAATATGACCAAAGAACCTTGATTTCTTTCCTGCCACTCCACTGCTAAAACATGCACACCAATGCATCAATCTCTCTGTGCATCTGAAAAGATGAACAGAGGGGAAATATCCTACAGATACTAGGACAGTATAGAATCCATCCACTCTAGGAAATGTGGCAAGGAGAGGGAAATAGTTATAGACTATGCAGAGTCCAGAAGAGGAGTTTTGGTGCAATTTAAAGTATTTCTTAAGAAAATGACTTCTGGAGCTTCTGCGCAGTAGCTTTGCTTCAAATGGTGTATAATTCAGCAAGAATTACTTACGTCCATGGAGCTGGGGCTGGGTAAGGATACAGGCTGAACAGTTGCAGGGAAAGTAAATGTCTCTGTCTTTTCATTTTCAGGGGAATCAGGATGACTGGACAGAGGGGATGTGGGGGTGAGAGCCCCAAATCCCAGCACAGTGTTGTATTTAGGTGGACGACCTACATATTAACAGAAGGAAACAAAAAGGGGAGGAAAATAATCTTACATACCTTTTGACATTGCTCCTCATTGGCTAGCATGAAAAAGGAAGCGATGAGGTACAGAGAGGTAGTTAGTATAATAGTCACAAGTGAAAGGAAGCCAAGATTCTCACATTAATTTTAAGACATTTACAAGAATAATTTCAAAAAGGATACTATGAGAAAAAACCCTGCAGTTTCTCAGAAAGGTAAAAGTTGCTACTCCTAACAATGGTATGTCATTTCAGTCTTAATGTTTTGAGTGTTCTATCTTTCCTTCCATATCAAGCCCCCAATTGACTTCTACCAAAAGTTGCCATGATCCATTACCCCTTAGATTGACTGAAATATCTTCATAATCCTTAAAACAGTACCTAGTAATACTTCATACATTTTCTAAGTCTCATTTCCTCTTTTTCTTAGAAATCTGAAATACTGAGATACCATTTGGAGGCTATCCATAACATTTTCATTTAGGCAATGATATTTATATTAGATCTGGAAAATATTTTGGTTTATTAAGGAATATTTTTAAAAATTATACAGCATTGAATCTAGACCAATCATAAATGTAAAGAGCACTTTTTTATTCATAAAATAACTATGACATAAAATTGCCTAGTAAATTATTATTCTAAAGTGAACTGTTATTCTAATTGAAAATATAACCCTATAGTTTTTTTTATAATAGTTTTCTGATGATTGATAAACAAAATTACAGACAAAAGACGGAAGCATGGAATTAAGCATTCATAGGTAACTTTTTAAAATTAAGCTGTACCAAACAGGTAGAGTGGTAGAAACAAATATAAAGGTTTCTTTTATATGATCAAGAACAAAAAGCCAAAAGCAATGGGAAAAATATCAATTCTACTTTACTTATAATGACATATTTTGGAAAAGAAAAAAAATTTCACAGTGGAACCTGCAATTGACTTTGAAACCTTTTAATCACTTATTTTCATATATTCAGTACATTCAAGTACACTATTAGAAGCACAATATCTCAAGTTCATCAATACACATTTTAATTACAAAATATTGTTTTAAAATTACAACTTGTATTTCAAGTTATCAATTTTATTTTTAAATAAGCTCAGTAGCAAAGGAATTATTAAAAAGCATTAACAGAATCAAATGTTATTTGATATTACATAATGCTCACTCAGCTCTATTGTGTAACTAATAAAGCACCCATCACACTGGATTACACTGGATTACATCAGCAGTATTTTATATCCAAAACAAAATCTAAATGCTTGAAGAAGCTTTTTCGGGCAAATTATCTTTTGAATTTTATAAATTCAAATTGGGAATGAGAATAACAAATATCTGGGAGGTAGCTACTTTCATGCTCACTCTTAACTCCTGTATTGAACCTGCCTACACAGGAAATCAGTCTTTAAAGAAAAGAGTTTGGGGTTTTAACTGTCAGAATGGGAGTAGTTTGTCTCATAAAGTAAAGGTATTAAAAAAAATATCTGCCAACACTGAAATGCCATTGTAAAAATTTATAATTATCCCTGTACCTGAAATACTGTGTATAGTTCTAATTATTATATTTGAAAAAGGTTATAATAAAAGTGGGAAAAGTATAGAAAAGGACAACTAAAATTATCAAGATGCTCAAGCACCTTTCTTCTTTGAAAAAAGTATAATATTTCAATTATTTTTAGCTCAGAATAAGGTAACTAAAGAGTGATATGACTGAGATGCATACAATCATGCTTGGCATAGAAAAATAAGGTATTTTTTTCTTTTTCTCAAAACTGGGAAACTTTTAGACTTAAGACACCAGAAATTGATTCCACTTTCTGTTTAGCATGATTACATCATCACTCATCTCAATTTTCATTTTTCTTTATGACCATATGAGACAATTTATTCACCAAATTATTCCATTATTCACCGTTTTCATAAATCCTCTCGACCTTGTTTTCTGTGGTTCCTTATATTAACCTCTTATTTTTTGCTAAATCCTTTATTTCTTCTTTGGTTCAATGCTATTTCTACTTTTTGCCTTTATTAAGAATTATAACCTTGGCTTTGACTAGAGTTGTTCTAATGCACATGTTATGTCATATGTATGTAATTATTTTAACAAGGAAACAAAAATACTGTCCTTCATAGAGCATGAGAGCTTTATTTTTTTCAGTTTTGTATTATTTTTTTTAAACGACTTATTGGTATTTGTGTTTGTGCTGTTAAGTATTGTGCTGTTAAATATATCAAGGTTTAGCAAATATCTATAGTATTTATATCTTTTTCCTATGCTGGGTATTTTGACTAAACAATGATTTGTAGGAAATATTGCTGCAATTCCTAAAGGTCAGCTAAGGAAATTTACAATGGACAAAAAGTACTTCTTCATACAGTCCAAAATTAATCTATGGAATTCATTATCAAAATATACAGTTAAGGATGCTAACTTGGGTAGTGTGAAAACAACTACTGTATTAATTTTGAAAATTCTACACTACATCTGTGTAAGGTAAAGGATACCCCCAAATATTAATTGAAAAAGAATAGCAGGAGGGGGGAATGTCTCCATATTCTTTTATGTGACTACTATGGAAGCATGTAGGTGGCCACTGTGAGAAACAAAATCCTAGATTATGACGGGACTTGTCAGAAAGCAGAAAAGCTATTCTTCTGTTTATATGATTATTTAACGTATTTGATTCACATATCATCCCTTCTCTTAATTAGAAATTTACCTCGTTTACGTGTCCCAGGATGCATTGTGCTGTTCAGATATGTGACCGCGCTCTTCTTGCGCTTTGTAAAAAATAGGAACAAAGTAATAAAGACTTTTTGTTAATTGAAATCTATAGAATCACTGATGCATATCCATATGTAACATAAACAAACATGCTTCACTACTAAAAATCATTTCTAGATTTGAGCAAGCTTTCAGTATTTTAAAGAATGCATTCATCATTGTTGTTAACTAGAACACCTACTCCAGAGAACTTGAACTTTCATGAAATCACCGACAGGCCATAACAGACCTTTTTCCACTAGCAACAAGACAATGATTTGATGCTAAATCTTCATCATTCAACAACTAGTCTATAACTTCTAGAAATATATCAGAGCAACTCAGGACTGTCTACATAGTTTTCTAGTGTCTTTGAGGGTGGGTATAGTTGAACTATTAGGCAAATGCTGTGGGTCATGGAAGGGCAATTGAGTCCTGGCAAGCAGAGCAACCCAAAACCACCCTGCTCCTCGCAGATGCAGTAAGGACAGCCATCATTCCTAGAAGTCATTTGCTAAACAGGCTCTTTTCAATCAGATTCTATTTCTAATGTATAAATAAGAGATTGCTACCTCAGGCTCAAAAACAGCTCCACTGTAAACTGGATTTGCTGTGGTTCTTCGTTTTCTTTCTTGTCTTTTACTTTGTATTTCTTGAGGAAAGAAATAATTTGGTTAGAAAATAAAAGCATTTCCAAGCACACAAGATTTTGTTTTAGAGTCTGAGAAACCAGGAGTCAGAATCTATCATTTCTGATCATCCTTGCACAAAGATAATCCAAAAGAAACAGCTGTATTACATAAAAATAGATTGAAAATATATCAGTACATGACACCAATTCAACTTAAAAGATTACAGCCCACATCTTCAGAAATCTAATTTTATATTTTTTATCAACTAATGAATCAAGAGAAATTTTCAAGTGATAATTAGTGCAAGATTCATTATAGTGTATGAATTTTTACCATGAATATTGCAGATTAATGATGACAAAAAGCATTAAAGTCAAAATCAACAGCTGCAGAGAAATGTAAAGACCTATTTAGTTGCTCAATGTATATTGCAACTCTTTTCCATGCTGTAAGTCTGTGACAGGTTACAAATCTATAAGGATTACTTTTTTAAAAAAAGTGCAAACACGTTCATAGAAAAATGCATCAATATATATATATATACGTATATAAACACTATCATTTAAGAGTAAATGAAATTATTTGTTAAAATATTTAATAAGTCTTAAAGAAACCCCTTTTATCAAACATATCTAAAACCTGATTAAGATTTAGTTATTAAATCAGTTTTTTAAAAATATATGTTGCATGCCAAAAGATAATAACTTTCTATTTTTAATCATGAGAAAATACATTTTATCATGTTTGAGATTTTCTTAGAATATGTTAAGCACTAGTTCTTTCTAGGTAGTATAAAACTTTTATTTTGTCTACACTCAAACTAAATCCCAAACATTTCTTTGAAAATAAACCCAATAATGTGAAATGAAACTTAACAGGTCTTGATTTTAAAAAAAGCAATGAAAAGGCTTGATTATCTTTTTACCTTCCAGATGATCATGCGTAACAAGTCCAAGAGAAACCATAAAGGCAAGTTTCTGAATTAAGAGAAACAAAAAATTGAAATCACACAGTATTACAGAAAATTAAATTAGCTAACAGTCATTTCTTAATACAAATGATTCAACAATATGCATCAACTCTTAAGTAATTTGGGACTCAGTGGTTTTGGCTGAGTTGTTTTTTCAAGATAGGTCTGGACAATTATCTTCTTCAATCTTTCTTTCTAATCATGAATTTGATTCTACCAGCTTTCAACTAAATCATAGTCTTCCAACATTCTAATTATTCTAACTTGTGTCCCACACTTTGTGTATTTGTGTAATGAAGCTGGAATACTTGGTCATACAACTTGATCTATTCCTTCTGGTATTTACATGCTCATTTTTAATACCACTACACTCTGCACTTCCTTACCAGCATCATACTATTTTCAATTATGTCCTCTCCTTCCCTATAGGATCCAGTCCTCCTGACCAAGGTCTCTTTCAAACTTATCCTCCCAGTTCTTATAACATGCAGCCTATCTTTTTGCCAGGAATCTGAAATAATGCATTCTAATATCAAAGAAACAGAAGTTTTCTCGTTGGTACCTAATCAGTATACTTAATTGTTCCTTTGGAGAATTCTCTTTCTACGCTATGTCCTTTTATAGGAAAGAAGGAAGAGAACACAAACTGAGCCCCAAGTAATGTTACTTTCCTATCCAGTGCTTGCAGTGATTCAAGATTGTATTTGGCTATGTATTTGTTCCCAAACAGATCAGAGGGAAGGGATATTTATCAATGGATTGGGAAGCTTTTTGTCACATTCCAAATGTGTGCCCAGAAAAGCATCACACTCCTCTTGACAGACTGGCTGGTTAACAGAGTACCACCACCATTTGTTTCCTGATCCCAGGGAAGAGGATGGCATCCTTCCTTTTGCAGAACCTGTAGCAACCCCTTCTTCAGTTCCTCAGATTTATGGTAGCTGCATTTCTTTCAATACAGAAATATAATAAACGGTGAAATTTTGGAATCTATTCTACAACTTTAAATTTTAAAAGCCAGATTGTTTTCCAATCCTCCCGTTTTGCTTTCTCTATTTTCCAGGGGGGTTCTTAATTCAGCTGTCTTTCCACAAGCACTTCCTGTGACCTATTTATGAACTCCCTATCTCCCCTGATAAGCTGGGAAGTGAAAATTTTATCTATAGTTCTTTCAACCTCTCTTCCGGGATGGTAATCTTTTTGCATTTGTAGCACTGGAGCTCTTGCCTTCAGAAAAGAAAACAAATATGGCACATCTCATACTGATCACAACAGTAATTTTCTGCCTTCCTATTCCTCTGATGAAAAAAAGAACAAACAACACACACCTCCTTGGTTCCAACACGCATCCTCCTTGGTTCCTATACAGGAATTCCCCCACCAATCTCCTGCCTGTCTGTTGCTGAGGAGCTGGCTTCCCCACAAACTTCCTCACAACTAGATCAACAGCAAGAAATGTCCAATCATGTCCAATTAGCAATCAGTAGACCAATGGACTATGAGAAAAAGAGTCAGCAGGAGCACCGAAGTGCTTTCAGAAGTCCAGTTGCCTTTTGAAAAGCAGCTTTGAAACAGCAATGACCTGGATGATTGAGAATCTCCACAGACAGTTAGCAGATGCAATCAATCACCAGCCTTTATCTTTTCTGGCTTTTTCTCTTTTATTCTGTCTCTCCTGTCTCTTCCCTATCTTTAGTCAAACTTAAATAGGCAAGCTCCTATTTATTTACTCAGTAAACTCACTCTCTAGGGAGCTGGCTTCCTTACATGTCATCTGAAGCTGCCCCAAATCACTCTCCGTAAAATATGTTACTATTCGAATTATACTATATTTTACATCCGTCTTGGGAATAAAGTAACAAGTAACACATTTCCCCAATTTATCCTAAGAAAAGCTGGGATAAAATGATATCTATAAAACAACATAAAATAATTTCAAAAATTAGAGTTAATATAAATGATAATGCTTTTTTAATTAATCAAAACTGTCACTATCAGAAATGTGTAGGAATTAACACCATAGTAGCATATAGTTCTTAAAATGTTGGGTTTGAATATGGTAATTTGAATCTTTGTGGAATTAAGTTCCTTAATAAAAGACATTCAAAATAACATAATTCCTGATAAAGCAGGAACACACATAGCCACATTGTTAATAGATTATTTTAAAGGTATTCCTTTAAAAGTATTCTTTTAAAGTCTTCAAGTCTATGTTTGCTTATTTATTTGTCACATGCAATATCCATCTTCCTTTCAGGAGCTCAAAATAATATACACAGTTCTCTTTTCTCCAATATTCCCCATGATAATCCTGTGAGATAGGCTAGACAAGATAATTACTAGGTCAAACTCAGTAAGAATCTGTCCCTGAGGGCAAAGTAGCACCAGTTTTACCCACACTACACAAATTCTCTGCGTTGTGAAGTATGCCTGGCAATTTCTCTCACTCTCTTACCCAGGGATACCGAGATACAACTGATGGATGCCATTTCCTGCTTTCCATGGTGACTATGGAACTGTCTATGGGACTTTGCATTACTAACCCAGGGCATACAGTTAGCATTACCACTGATTTTTCAGCCCTTTGAGTTAAGTAACATTTAGAAAATCCAATCATCGTAGGTAGGTCATATTTCTGGCAACTACCCTCCCTTGGAAGAATAGATATCCTATTAAAACAGTCCACTCCAAAAGATTTATGAAATTTGAGGAATTCCTCAAAATTCTGGGGAAGTTTCTAGCAGTTTGGATTGGTGATCATGTCAAAGGTCTTCATATAACTGTGAAACAAATGAAAAAAGACACCTCATCAACATCCCAAACATGAATCTAAGGTTATGGCAATTGAAGGGCAGTTCAAGAAAAAAAAAAAAATTGGCTGAAACACATTGTTGAAGTTGTGCAGGGAATTTGTAGTAGAGCATGGCAGTAACGATTAAATAATGGTGAAAATAGTAAAGAAAACTTATTTTATTAAGTCCATCATGTCCTCAACTAACTATCCACTGTTCCCTACCCCACCCCCAACTACAATAAAGCTTACTGTCATTTGCTCCTGTAATTCATTGAAGACCTGAGTGACACATTGGCTAGATATTTTAAAAATTGATTCTTTATACTAATAAAGAGTCAATTCAAAAACTCAAGAGTGCACACATTTCTTCAAACCACATCGACATCTGGTGAATTAGTATCTTTTCCAAGAAAAGTTTACAATATTTTTTCCTAACAATTGTGACATGATGTATCCCAAATTCTTCACAAAATTCCAGGATTTTTAAAATACAATTTATCAAAAAAACCTGGCATTTTAAAACTTTAACTCCCTTGCTGAAACCTTACTAATAATATTAAGAATATTCCACCACCATGGAATTATCAGAGACATGTCCAACACATATTTTTAACAGGTCTTCAAATATACTGCATATCCAATCTAGAAAAATAGATAACAACTACTTTTGAGATTTGCTGAGTTATCCCATACATGTGAAGAATGTTTTGATGAATTAATATTCTGTAAAGATTATGAGGCACATTTAACATCTTTTTAAAGTTGAGATGGCTGATTTCTTAAAATTGGAGTCTTTTATTTTTTATTCCAGATTTTTTAAAAATTCAATTTCTATATTATTCAATTGTTGGTTAACTTCTAAAAATAAATATTTTTGTTATAAGTTTAATATTTTATTTATACTTGCCATTTTAGTCTTTTTGGGCAGGTTGCATTCTTTTTATACTTCTCAGTTATAGAAATATGATTAATAATGAAATCCTTAATAATATGATCTTAACCCCATTTCAGCTAATATTTTCCAAAACTAAAATTAAACGTACAAGTACTTTCATCCACCATTTCTAAATAGGTATCAGTCCATAAAATCCTTCCTTCCTTCCCTTCCCTTCCTTCCCTAATCAACCAACCAACCATCCAACCAATCAACCAACCAAGCATAATATATATGTCACTTCAGAGAAAGTATTAGTATAATATTAAAAACAAAAATAAGTATCCTTTTTATAAAAAGATCAAATGTGAATCTCCTTCTCAATAAAATGCAAATAAATCTGGCTGCCGTTAATACTTGGAAATACACCTCAGTTCTGATTAAAAGTAGAACCTGCCAGGATTTAAAAGAAGCCAATAATAACTTCATGGTGGTAGCCATAGTATCTTAAGTATGGTGGCATACATTTTATTTTTATTTTTTTTAAAAAAGGTAATACATTTGCTCAATGCTACAATTAAAATTCTGCAAAATAAGAAGCCCCATTTTCATGTGTAATTAGAATTTCAAAGAAAGAACTTGGAGGCGGACCATTTTATTAAAATGTCATCAGAAGCTTATTGATTTGTTTAAAATATCTAGTTGGAATTAATACAGAGACATCTCTCTTAAATTTGTAAACTAATCTTGAAATTAAATTCATTTTCACCACATTTATTCTTCCCCATAAATTCATAAGTATTTTTAACTGTTAATATTACTGTTAATCTGAATTATACCATCGGTTGTAGTAATATATACCTCAAAGGCATTGTGGAAGCATTATTTTCAGATATTTAAGAGATTTCAGACAATAAACAAAACCCAAGTTTTTGCATATTAGCAACTGGTAATATATCAGATTATTTTCCAGAAAATAATATTTTAACTAGTGGTACCTGTGGGTTTTCTTCTCGTTTTGGCTTGGGAGGTGCAGGAGAGGTAACAGTATGAATCTCTGTTGGCTTCTCCTCCGTTTCTACTTGGGGCTTGACTGTCTGAAATAGAAATAACTGAATATATACTCCTTGATTTAGCATAAAACAAAACAAAACAAAAAAGCAATGCCTTTCATTAACCAGAATGACAACAATGAGGAGAAACCCTTAATTATGTGAAAATATCCCAAACAATAATTAGTTTTTCAGAAGACCACGCCCCCCCCCCCCCCCCAAACTCCAATACTTAAGTAAAAGACCTGGGAAGCAGAACTATAGATGAGTTGGTATTTTAAAGAATGATCTCCCTGAAAAGCTTGCTTAGACACCATTTTGTTAAGAACAAGCACTCCTCTTTGGGCTTTAGTATTAACATGAAATGTGCTTGAAAATTAGTTCTCCATGATTCCTGAAAGAGTGGGTTTTCCTGAAGTATACACAGTATATGGCAGAATCCTTTGCATCATAAGTTCCTCCACAATGACACAATAATCACTTTATGACATGGATGTGAAGTCATAAAATATTACCAATCATTTCCAAGGTGACAAAGATAATTTCAGTCCGCTATATGAGCAATACATGGAATATGGATATGGATTGGTTTGTTCTTAATAGTAAGCCACATTGTTGTTTGTTCCTTTTTGGTTTACTATGCCATACAAACTAATGTGCTATAGAGTTTTCAATAAAACATAGTTAAAATCTGGCTTATAATTATGGGTGAATATTGGCTATGTCTGAAACATCTGTATGAACTGGAGTTTATTCTAATGGTCTGGTTTGGCATGACTGTAAAACAATTGGAAACATTTGGTGCTATTTACTGAATAAGTCAATCATGGTTAAAGATATTAAAAATACAAGTTTCAAGTCTCAGTTAACACTAACAGTGGTTCTTTGTTAGTTCAAAATGGAAGGAAACACTACCCCTTCCCTTCTTTGCAAAGTACTAATTTGGCATATGCTGGTTTTGTATTTGTATTTTACTGTGACATATATGTTACACCTTCCTAAAAGAGATAAAAAGTAGATCATTTTTCTCATACAACAATGGAAAATTTGTCAAGCTTAAAAGCAACATTTGAGAATTCAAATTAGCAGGCTTCAAAATCAGCCATAAAAAGATGTGCTGCCAGGAAAATGATGATTACTTCTATTATGTTAGGGAAATACTCTTTCAACTATCCAGGTTGCAAAATATTTAAACAGCATTGAATAACCAATGATAAATTAGAGGTTGTTGTAAAATTGTTACCCTCATTTTGAAGTTAGATTAATTAGAAATGTTAGCAACATAATGGAAATTTTTTTTTTTTTGCTGAAAATGAAAATTGTATACTTAGGCAAAAAAAAAAAAACCCAAGCAAATGATAATAACTCTGATGGACTGTAAATAAAAATACAGACCGACCAAATAGCATTCCTCTAGCTGTACCTGCTTCTCAACATTTGGTTTGCTGATCTGTAGAGTCTGAGGTCCAGCAAGCCTGGCACCTGGGGCTGCTATAACAATGCTGGTGAGTTGTGCCATTGGAAAAGTTTTGGCTATGGTTGCTGTTTGCCCATTCACAACACGAACTGGGTGTATGGAATTCTGTGTAGAGGGTAAGGAGGTGGGGGTGAACTTTGTGGTCAACATCACAGGCCTCTGAATAAGTTGAGGAGCAGCAAGCATAGGAGGAGGTGGGGCTGGAGCTATAGGTATGTTATTCTGGGCAACTGGTTTTGGTCGAACCTAGAGAGAGATAGGCAGACAGAGGTATCAGACTATGTCCTACAAACATGACTTAGCAGACAACAGTATTTGTATTACATTAAGATACACATTAGCACAAAGCTACTTAATTTGAAATCTGTTTCAAACTTGGTTGATTCCAAATATAATGGCTGTAAATTGTACCAAAAACTGTTCCTTGTCTCTGCATCAGGAAGCTTCATATACTTATTATTCAGACTAAAGGGATAATATTACTTTATAAATTAGCTTATAATAAAAATTAGAGTGGTCATCTGATTTTTCAAGTCCTGATATGGTAGCATAGAATATCTTGAATTTCCAATGCTGTATTCTTTAAGAATATTAACAGTAAGAGGAATTATCTATGCAAAATAAATATCAATTAAATGCAGCTGCATTTATATTAACCCTACATCTCTTCATTAATTGAGAGAATTTATACATAGTTATTATTTTAAATGTTGAATCTAACATATTAGGATGTTAGATATATATCTTAACTTTATGCTTCAGAGATGGAAAACTGGTTCTCTAAACAGCAGGGAATGGAGCTGAAGGTGACAAATATAACATCAGGAGATATAAGAATCATTTATTGAAAGAAACAGTATTAGACATTCAAAGCACGGCATACAAGTTGTTATACATATGGCTACCAGTCGTGGAATGAAAAATTCAGGACAACTGTTACATTGCATCAAAACAATAAGAAAACTCTAGCTTTCTGCTGCAATCTAACAATCATCTAGATTTCTATATTACTTTTGCACATTTGCCTTTAAATAGTTGGGAGATAATCTATTTCAGAAAAAATTTTGCTCAACCAATCTTCCCATGACAAATTTGATCCTTTCTAGAAAACAGTAAGAGCAAATTGCACTAATTAAACTACAAACTCATCACAGTGGCAACAACTGGGTGGCAAACACCTTATTGGTTATACATTAGTATAATGAAAAGAAACCAAATTAAAAACACATGATGAATACAGAGAAGCAATTGGGGGCAATTGGGTACAGCTCAGCAACAAAAAGTTAATTCTATTCACAGTCTCAGCTAACTTTCTGACCTCCGAGCCAGGGAGAACTGCCAGATCTTAAGGGGTTTTTGAATGCCAGCAAGATTAGGGACAAAGTGATCTTGGGTGGGAAGGATAGGTTCTGAGCCAGAAAAGGCACAGTTCTGGTACCACCAGGTGACATTTTAATTGATAAGGCCTGAAGCATACCTCTCTTGTCAGTCCTTATGAAGTGTGCAGAAACAATTAGAACAAAACACTCCCATAAGATGGCAGAAAGGAGCTTTAATATAAAAGGATGGAGCTTTAATATAAAAAGGAACTCTTTGGGCAGAATTTATTGCTGAATACCATGTCTGAACTGCAAAAAGCCAACTCAGCAATAGATTGTAGCTACAATGCTAATTCACTGCTATCACCTCACAATCTGAATGGCACTCCTGGTCATTCAGATTCTTGTGGCCTGGATTTGACAACCCTAATTCTTATTAAATGTGTGAAATATCTAATGTTGTCTTTTTAAACCTCAAATCAAAGTCGTATCTCACTGAGTTTTACACAGTTTGGTTAGTTGGCGTCTATTCTGAACAGACTCACCTGTGGAAGAAAATTTGGACGAGGAGTAAGTCTGGGAGGAGGGATGAACTGTGGCACTTTGATAGGTTGAGGAGCTGTAGCTTGAACCTGCTAAACAACAGGAATGAGCTCAGGTGGTGATAAAACTAAAGCAGCTTTAAGCAAAGTATAGGTACGATCAATTATTTAAAAGTTTTATAACGGTTACCAGTTTTTCCAATATGAACTGATTCTGAAGAATGAAACTGTCTTTCTTATTTAGGAAGTATAAAGCTGGCCTTTTGCTGGTCTCATAAATATATAAACCTATGTTATCACTGTAAGACTGTACCAGTCATCTGAATCTTTTGAATTTTTATACATTACAGGTTGTTCTCCAGAATACAGTATCAGTCTTCTTACCCATTCAAATTGTATTTCACAAGATGTTTAAATATGTTAAGAACATAAGCATTCATATTCAAAGTATCCCAAACCACTGCTTTGCACAATGAATTATTTTTCCTTATTGTCCAGAAACACAATAATTTATTACTAGAATACGAAGGCTGTAAGTAGATTTACTTACAGCTGCATTTCTGGATTAATTCTCAAATGTTAACATTCAGATGCCTCGTATATTTAATAGTATACTGATAATCACTGTTATATTTCTAATCCAAATTGTATCTGTTTAAATAGCTGACTTCACATTTAAAATTAAATTTTACATTTTAATAGGTTTCAATTGTTTGACATTTTATAAACTGATCCTTGATCAAAATAATGCTTGTAATTGTTATAGAGTGAAAAAATGCTGGCAAGAACTCATTGTGCAAGGTACCATTTTATGGACCCAGTGGCAGTAATATTTAATGAAGTTAAACAAGCAATGAAATTGAAAAAAGTAAACTATGTCAGAAGTTATACCATTCAAATAAAGCGTCCCCAAGCATAAACTTCTACAATCAAAATTAAGGAATCTCTGTCCTTTTAGCAAGGAGATTAAGAATCATATAGAAACAATTTGATATCTTATTATTGGAACATATGTTAAGGATACATAATTGTGTAGTACTGTAATAATATTAATCAGCATTGGAATAGTAATTAAAATTGAATATTTCTAAAATAAGTGTGTTATCTAATTGTAATTTAAGCAAAGCATCAAAATATAAAGTATATTCTCCAAGTATGTAAATAATACACTCTATTCTCTGGTATACATAATTTCATATTATGATAAAATAAAGAATGGTTCAAGTGCTGAGCTACCCAGCTTGCTTACCAATGTGACTGTATTTTTTGCCACTATTTGTACTGCCTCTGTTCCTGGACCAGTGACCTTATTTGTTGTCTGGAGGTTGACAGGCGTGTTCTGTGCATCAGTGCTAAGGACAGTTTTCTGGCTGCTGTTGATGGCAGTCACCATGGCAATTGTAGGTCTTTGACCCACAACAGAGGCAGGCATGGTTGCTGTTGCTTTCAGAACAAGAGGTAGTGTCTTGGTGGTGATCATAGAAGCTGTAGTTACAGTTTTCTAGAGAAATAGAAAACATATTTTTTTCTGGAACACTGCACCATCCACTGAGAAAAAATTATTATTGAGAACTGTGAGAAAATAGAAGCAATACAGCACAATGGAGAAATTGTGGAAAATTTAAACATTGATATCCTTCTCCTGGAATCAATACATTTATTAATACTTTATAGCAAATCTCATATATACTTGACAACTAATCATACAGAAATATTAGGTCATGATTTGATCAGAGTTGATGAAATATGCAGAACAGTAATCAAGTTTTTGTATGCATCCTTCAATTTTTGCCTTTCCGCTCCTTGGAATATATCCTTACTATAATCTCTAGACTTTTTGAAAAGTGTGTCTCTTCTTAACTATTTATATTAGCAATATCCATAACGTTCAGTGCACAAGCTATCCTGTATATGGAACAGGTAGAACTGGGTGGTCCATGTTTGGAACAAAACATAGGTATTTTATCCAGACATGGACCCAGAACATATGTGTTCCAGACATAGGGCCTCTAGAATAAGATACAGAAGAGAAAAATGAAGCCATCAGTGTGTGGCAGCTAAGCAGAGATAAAGGTAAGGAAGGTGATGGGAATATCCAGAGAGGGTAGCAGGGCTAGTTGAGTATCTGTATCACATTCTTGAGTTCAAATTTGGCAATGACGGCTACAGGGAAGGAGAAAATGGGAAAGCCAGGTGAGGGACAAGTGGCCTGATCATAATAGGATGACAGCAGCTGCAGGGATGGAAACCAATGGGAAAAGGAGCAAAAAGTGGAATGGACCAGTCACTTATGCTGTGTTCAAATATAAAATGGTAGCAGGGAGTTGGGCTATGAAGATCCCTAGGTAAACTAGTACCTAGGCCATGAGGAGAAGAGAAGAGAGGGGTGAGCTATGTCAGTCTTGCTCTATTCCTAGAACTTTCTGGACTATTCTTGAAAAAAAAATCCAAAAATAACCAAAATGTTACACCTTTCCAGTTATTCTAGAGTGTGATGTACCTAGGACAATCCAGTCAAGCATTTATGACACATAATTTCTAATTTTGTGCAAACCTCTACCAATAGGCTTAATGCAACAAATATAGGTGTAAATGTGTATATGGAAATGTCACTGTATCTGTAGAATGTCGTAAAACTGTATTTGTTTTGAACCAATTTTTCAGTTCAAAGTTGGTTCAAGTAGAGTTAATAGGTGAAATTCAGACAAGAAATTCCCCCAAAATTAAAAGGTCATTATCATATATGATTTTCGGAAACTCCTAGTCATTGAGAATTGAAAAACAACAGCAAATATCATATGGGCATTTTCACTGGTGAAGTATTTTTATTTTAGCAGAAGTTTCTAAGTAAGTATCTAGTATTAGATTTATTGCTGCAGTATTATATTTTCAGTTGGGATAGGATTATTTTATCAAAGGGAAGCTGTTAAAGTTCTGAAGTTTGCAGACAGTACAACGGTCATTGGCCTCATTCAAGATGGTGATGGGAGGTTGAACAACTGGCCCTGCTGTGCAGCCGTAACAATCTGGAGCTAAATATGCTTAAAACTGTAAAGATGATAGTGGATTTTAGGAGGAACCCTTCTATTTTAACCCCTTCGTATGTTATGCTACAATTAACTAGAACTGGGACTTTCAAGATTTCTCACACCTATGCACAGAAATCCATAACTTTGCATTCCACTAAAATTTTGCTTTTCTCTAAAAACAGGTGCACACTTTTTCATATAGCATTCACATCAGATGTACCAGATTCCACTTATTATGCTTAATCTGATTTGTATAATTTAAATCATGTGTTCTTAATTAGCTACATCACAACATTAGAACCCAGATTTTTGGAAGCAATATGCTGACTATGTAAACCGCTTAGAGGGGGCTGTAAAGCACTGTGAAGTGGTAAATAAGTCTAAGTGCTATTGCTATTAATTATAAGTGGATCCTAGAGAGTAATATCCAAATGTAAGGAATCATTCCTTCCTAGAATTTGAAAAAGAAAATACTATTGGCATTTACTAGTCAAGGTTTTAGTAGCAATTATTAATACTTTAATATTTTAACATCAGCAAACTATGAATTTTCAGTACAGTCACAGTATTACAATTAAGAATTTTACAAATGTTGTAATTTTTCCTACTAGTGTTTCCTTCCAGTGCCTTTTAATAATTGTGCGCATCTTTAAAATACTCTAAAATTCTTTGCTAAGGCTACACCATACAAGTAGTTTCATAATGTTGTGAAAGAACTGATTTAATTCTCCCAAAAGACTTAAAAGTTTTAAAGAATAATTTGAGAAGCCCTGTGATGTATCAGAATTAAGTCCATATGCAATTTAGATAACAATTTTATTTCTTGGATTTTGATTAATTTAGTTTTGCTCTTATTAAACAAATATGTTTATAAGTTTAAGACTTTTAAAGAAGGTCTGCAACAGAATAATAAAAGAAAAAAATGTAGCAATTTTAAGGCAAGTTCACTAGAGGGCTCTTTAGTTTTAAATAACTTGTTTAAGCACATATTAGCTGAAAGTTAAACTACAAGGCAGAGTAAAGTTATTACAACTGTAATCTTTTAATAGTTACAGTTTTTAATACTAACTAATATAAACTATGTACGATTATTCAAAATGAACTTAAACAATGAAATTTCTATGTTTTACTTAATGTCAATTACTTTCAACAGCATATTAATCAAAACAGTCAGAAGAGCATCAGATAAATCTGCAATTAAAATTTCAAACCTGAAGTTAGTCTAACCAGTAAAATATCCACTTCATAGTAAAGGATTTCTAGAATTAAAGTTTGTGAATTAAATAGTATTTTTTTCTTGGTTTACCAACAGTGTATTATTTGACTATTTTTTTCCAATAATTTAATGGGACACTGATATGCTGTTACCAAAGGAATAATTACCATAAATTCAAGTCCTGCCTTATCCATGAAAGCCAATTGGGTGACTTTGGGCCAGTCACTCTCTTTCAGTGCAACCCACCTCACAAGGTTGCTGTTGTGAGGAAAATAGAGAAGGAAATTGTGTTGGATATGTTTCCTGCCTTGAGTTGATAATAATAATAATAAAGGCAGGATATGAATAAATAAAAACATTTTAATTTTTCTTATATTCCAATTGGCCAACAGTCAAGAACAGTCTTTCTATTTTACTAATGATAATGATAACTTTCCAGATATCAGAGTCTGAATTAGGGATATTTTATATGCAAATTATCCTTTATTATAAGTAGCAGAATAAATAAAGTTACACAGCTGAATGGAACAACTGGTTGCCCCCAGCCAGCTCTCCATGGGCAACTCACCACAGGACAACTCACTATGGGAGAATGCTGGAGGTGAGGGGAATCTCCTCCTCCTCGCTCTCCCTCTCTCTTCCTTGATCTGGCTTACCACCCCCACCAATACCTCCTGAATTCTGTAGCAAAAACTCCTGTGTACCAAAGTGTGTCTCTTTCCCAAGTGATCTTTTTTCTTCCCCTTGCTGCTTTGTCCTCCCCGATTTTTCCCTCCAGTCTGAGCTAATATTGGAGAATACTAGAGAACTATTGGAGGAGGAGGAAGTTTCCCTTGCCTCCTGCATTCTCCCATGGTGAGCAAGTTGTCCCATGGTGAGGTGGCTAAGGTGAAGTGACGGAAGGTGAAATGACGGCAGCGAGCTAACAGCAGTGAACCAGCGGTTGCAAGTTGTCCTGAACCCATTACATATAGGGCTTCTGATATTTGCAGCTTACTCTATTTAATACTATTTGCAATACATCAGGGCCATTAAAAAAACTACAACTCCTTTGAGGTTCAATTCATTGCCTTTTACCATGACTACTTAGAGAGCAAAATAATTTTTAGTCAAGCATTGTCTTTAGCATTCTAAATTCTTATGTTATTTTGGTAAGAATAGAGAATTTTAATCCAAAACTACTTTGTACCATTACATCTTCATTATAATGTATTATTTTAACCAAGTTCTTTAATTCCAAGCTATATATACTTGAGGATAGAAATGCATGTATTTCCTGTTGACATAATCTTCTCAACTTTTATCACACAATAAATTTGCCAAAAATGTTTCTTTATGAAAATTCTTAATTTACTTTATTTAGTTCACAAACCTGCCTTCACCAATTTGACTACAGTTCATTCATAAAATTTGTACTACTCTTATTGTAATATTAGATATTGGTTCAAAACTGAATTTCAAGAGAAGAAAACACTTGTCTTTATTGCTTACATAAAATCGGTGTCAGAGTATGCAATGAGAAAATGTAATCCTCAGTTTGAGAAGTTATAGTATTGAATGTGTCAACATTTTATTAAAAATGAATGTAAAGGTCAGAATTACTACATGTCCACCATTTAGACACACAATCTTTTATTGGGCAAGGCAAAAGAAACTGCTTTCCACTATGTTATTTATAGTCACTTTTGGAATAAATGTTTCTCCGCCATTTATGAATGGCAATTAACATCATTCAACCTATAAATGGTAGAACTTCTTCTAACCAATAGCAACAAGAAGGTTTTTCATGCAGAGGTTACATTTTGCAGCAGCATTTGTAAGATTGATGGGTAACTACTTTAGTTTATATAATTTAGATTTATTAGAAAATATATGGTTGCTTATAAGTTGAAATCATAAAATTATTCTGCATATATCTTTATTTACAATTAATTATACATTATTTCTGTATTTTAATTGCCATCCACTGAAATAAATAACCTGAACTGATCAAAAATCTCTAAATAGTTCAAGATCCCTGGATGTCATCTGAAATAAAACCAAATAGAAACAAGATCAGTATTAGTCAAAGATAGAGAGGAAAATGACAGAAGATAAGGACCTTTGCTTTTACTTAAAGATTTCTGATAGCATTACCTGATCCTATAAACATTCACTCACTCCCCCAGGTCAAAATGATTTAGTTTCTAGTAAATGTTTCCTCATCATCACCTAGACTAACATTGATTTTATACAGTGATGAATTTCAGCCTAAGAAATAGCTTTCCAAAAACACAGTCATTAATTCAAACACTTTACCTGTGATCCAAGCAGGTTTGGAGAGGGTGCAGTGGTCTGCTGCTGTGGCTGCTGTGGCTGCTGCTGTAGAGGCTGTGATGTTTGTATTTTATTTTCTGTCTGTGCCAATGGCTGTATTTGAAACTTACTATCAGGCTGTTCCTGCTTTACCATTAAATTCTTCCGCAGTTGTTCAACGACTCTTTTCTAGCAAGAGAATACAAACAAAAATAGTATCATATATACTTTTTGCATTACACTAAAATACATTTCAATATTTCGTTTCAAAAACAGATAGAAATAATGTAATTGGTTGTAAGATGAACTTTGTTTTAAGGTTCTATTTTAAAAAGTCAGTTTTGTATTCATATTATTAAGTTCATTTTAATTACTATTATATGTATGTATGTGTATCTGATTGTATTACCACTGTTTATTTTTATCGCTGTTTGTTAAACTCACTATCTTTAAAACATTTGATTGAATAAATTTCATACTAAATAAAAATAAAGGAAGCAAATTCATTTTTGAGAAATCAGCAAATTTAAGGAAGGATAACATATCAGTAAAATCAAAAGTTGTGGGCAATTTAATATTCAATACTACCAGCCTGCCTTCAATCAAGGACCTGTATACTTCACGAGTCAAAAAGAAGGCTGTGAAAATATTTACAGACCCCTCACATCCTGGTCATAAACTGTTTCAACTCCTTCCCTCAAAAAGACACTGTAGAGCAGTGGTCCCCAACCTTTTTTGTACCAGGGACCAGTTTCACGCAGAAACACTTTTTCAAGGACCGGCGGGGGGGACGACACTTTTTCAAGGAGGGGGGGAGGGGGAGGAGTCCGAGTTTGGTGGTTTGCTTGCAGACGCTTCATTACCTGACTAGATAACATCTGATGTTGTTACCTAGTCAGGTAATAAAACGTCTGCCAGCAAACCACCAAGTTCAGGGAGGCTCAGGACAAGTCCCTGCAGGATGGCTGAGAAGCCCCGTCTCTCAGCCCTGCCTCCCTCAGCCTCATCCCTCAGGTGTCTCCCTCCCTCCCTCAGCCTTATCCCTCAGGTTGCCTCGTTCCTCTCTCAGTCGCTCTCTCGCTCCTCCACCAGCCCAGGAAGAAACTGCTTCAAAGAAGCCAGCAGGGTGGCTTTTCCTGTCGCCGCAGCTCCTCCGAAGCGCCCGTTCACCCCCACCCCACCGCCCGCGGTTCAATCCAGTGCTCCGTTCTGCCTGCCTGCCTTCATTTCTGGTTGTTTCGGAGCAGCTTCGGCTGAGTAAAAGAGGCGAGTAGTTATTATTCTCAGCCAAAGCTACTCCGAAACAACCAGAAACGAAGGCAGGCAGGCAGGCAGAACGAAGCACTGGATTGAACCGCGGGCGGCAGGGTGGGGGTGAACGGGTGCTTCGGAGGAGCTGCGCCGACAGGAAAAGCCACCCTGCTGGCTTCTTTGAAGCAGTTTCTTCCTGGGCTGGTGGAGGACCGAGAGAGTGACTGAGAGAGGAACAAGGTGGGAGGAAACCGAAGCCGCTGAGCCGGAGAGCAGGACAGGCTTTGGTTGCTTTCTCCCTCCCCTTCTTTCATTTGTGTCCTTGATCCCTGATCCCAGCAGCATTCACCGAAGGTGAAAAAAACCGCCATTTTTATTTTATTTTTATTTTCTTTGCGGCCCGGTACCAAATGATCCACGGACCGGTACCGGTCCGCGGCCTGGTGGTTGGGGACCCCTGCTGTAGAGCACTGCACACCAGAATAACTAGACACAAGGACAGTTTTTCCCCAAACGCCATCACTCTGCTAAACAAATAATTCCCTCAACACTGATCAACTATTTACAAAGTCTGCACTACTATTACTATTAATCTTCTCATCACTCCTTATCACCCATCCCCTCCCACTTGTAATTGTATTAGTGTAACTTTGTCGCTTGTATCCTTACGATTTATATTGACTGTTTCCTAGTATGATTTGATTGCTTATTGTACCCTATGACTATCATTAAGTGTTGTACTTTATGATTCTTGACTCTTGAAGAATGTATCTTTTCTTTTATGTATACTGAAAGCATTTGCACCAAGACAAATTCCTTGTGTCCAATCACACTTGGTCAATAAAGAATTCAATTCAATTCAATTCAGACAGCTCTCCCCCAGAAACTATTGCTCTTTCACAGCTCAGACAAAAATATGGAGCCGAATGAGGGCATTCATCATTCAAACCTTTCACAAACTTTTATAACAAATCAGTTAAGTGTTATAAGCAACAACAGTCTTGGGTTATCATAATATCTAATTCCTGCATTACGGGAACTCTGTGTATTGCTAATATAACAGAATGTTCTTTCCCAGTTTGGGGTGACCTCCAATCCTATAATCAAAACTATTCATGATGTTCTGATCTTTATTCCACCAAGACTTTTCCACATGCATAGAAGTGGTGCATGTTTTAGACTGCATCACATTTTCTCGAGTTTAATTATTTCTGTCCTTTTTAAGCTTGAAGAACATTAACAATCATTAAAATTTCCACTGATTTTGTTAGCCCCTTTTCCATCCAAAGATAGGTCATTTGTGGTATTCTGATAGAAATTACAGTTCTATCGTTCATTTCACACAAACTTTATTTTTTGTTTTCTGTGAGGGTAATACTTTGTACAGTAATTCTTACAAGCCAATAGACACATGTCATTTATTTTTATCAACTCAAGTTCTAAATGTATTTGCCCAGAGATCAGGACAATGAAGTCCCATATTCTTTATTTAGGCATTCAAATACTGATGCATTGTTTACTGTTTCTTTCTGAAGTACAAAATGATGATTCAGCAAGTATAAGCAGGAATAGAAGGATCATTTTTCAGGAAGCAGAGTACCATAAGGAAAATAACAGAACAGAAGCCAATTATACATGCCAAACTATTACTCTTAATTATTCACAGCAGAAGAATATATGCTAGTTTATCTGGCTAGAGACTAGTATTCAAGAGATGCTAGGCTTGAACGTTCCCAAGCTAGACTGTAATAAAAAGAATCAATCAATCAGAAGAGAGGTTAGGAAGAAGAAAAGTCAAGTATGCGGTTTCAATTTTACAATTCTTTCTGGCTTTCTTCCTCAAGAAACGTATGGATTAAAAACAAGCAGGAGTGGGCTGCTGGGGGTTCACAAGAGCCTCTAGCTAAAATTCTGCACAGTTCGGAGAACCTCTAAATCCCATTCCTGGCTGGCTCCGCCCCGCCCAGGAGTCCCCACACAGCCCATTTTGGATGCAGGGTGCGCATGGAGGCTTGGGGAGGGTGAAAAATGGGCCTCATAGAAGTTCAAGAAGGCTGGAAATGGGCCCATTTCCAGCTTCCAGAGAATCTACGGAGCTCAGGGAGATTGTTTTTGCCCTCCCAGAGGCTCGAGGAAAACCTCTGGAGCCCAGGGAGGGCAAAAGCAACCCCTCACTGTGGTGCAGGAGGCCACGCCTAACATAGCCACGCCCAGCCAGCAACCGGGAAGAGAATCTGTTGCTAAAATTTTTGAAGCTCACCCCTGAAAACAGGGATGAAATTTCTGTAAGCTTTCAGTTTTTTGAAAATAGGTTTTACCTACATTGTGAGAAAAAAGATGTTGTTCTCCGTTGCTCTTTTTGTCTTTTTTAAAAAGTTTTTTTAAAAAATTGGTAAAATACACTTCCTACTGTCTTCCATTTATAAAAGGCCAGATACACAAATGCAAAAATTGAGTTTATTTTAATTACTTCATCAAATTAATGTAGTTACGCAACAAGTCTATAATCCAAGAAATAGTGTTTATGTATATATGTACAATGAGCCTGGTGGTGCAGTGGTTAGAATGTAGTATTGCAGTCTGTCTCTGCCCACTGTCACGAATTCGATCCTGAGAGGCTCGAGGTTGACTCAGTCTTCCATCCTTCTGAGGTCAGTAAAATGAGGACCCAGATTGTTGGGGGCAATATGCTGACTCTGTAAACCACTTAGCGAGTACTGTAAAGCACTGTGAAACAATTTATAAGTCTAAGTGCGATTGCTATTGGTATATATACACCCAGATTTTATTGATGGTCAGTAGAAATTTTAACTATCTGAACTTTTATTCCAAGGAAACTAAATGATCTTATAATTATTAGAAATTCTGAAACCATATTTCTAAAAGTGATATTGCTTATACCGGTATTCATCTTCAATTTCAGCAATTAAGAATATAACTAACACCAGAAAAGAGCATCATGAGAATACTATAAAACAAATGTCTGCAACACTATATAGTCCAACTAGGTATTTATAGGATTGTCTACTCCAACGAGAACTGGCCCAACAAATCAGATCAACTCGAAAACTTATTAATCCCACATTATTAGTGGTCTGAGGAACTGAAGCCAGAAAGTATTGTGCTTCAGTGGCAGTGCTAATACTCTGAAACAACTTGGCAGAGATAAAGATGGCCCCCTCCTCCTTGCTGATTTACAGAACTTAGCAAAGGCAGAATTTGGAGAGCCTTCCCCTGGTTTTATTATGCCATCTTTAACTTTTATTTAATTGTTTGGCTAATGTTATTGTTACTCTTTTGATGGAAGGTTTGTATATTGGATGTTTTAACTAGTTTTATTTTCAATATAAGCTGTTAAAGCTAGAGTAGAATAGAAATATGTAAAATAAAAATACATAAATAATTCAATGCAAGTATACTGTTCAACTTGTACAGATGTCCTACAAAAAGTCTGCAACCCAGGTCAAAAATGAGATTCAAAGCTTTGCTAGTACAAGCACAAATGCACAATCTGCTTTATTATTTCAGTAAAAATATCCTTCAAGTCAAGCTCAATTCCTATAGCTACATAGACAGAGACTTGGTAATTCCATCCAGTCTTCTTGGGGTCATTACTCTTAATAAAGTAATTCTATTTACCTATGGATTTGACTGAATCTATTACATATTTCTAATGCAAATGTACATCCTATTTTGCCTTTTGGGGAGGATGTATTTACAATCTCAGTTTCTGATATTTGTTTCTAGTTTTATCCAAGCTGCTGTTTATATATTTGTTGTTATGCTATTTAGGTTGTGTTTTTCTATTGTTAGAATCATGTCACTAAAAAGATCAATCATACAAATCAAAATATATAAAAAGGAGTACTGCATTCTTTGTAATCCTGTATCTAATATTTTGCCAGGAGTATTGGTCCATTTTTTAACTTAACCAGTTA